TGTATTTGGTGTATTCTGAAATTATGCCAGCAATAATGTCTTGGCTCAATTGTGGCGTCTCTATGGTATCAAATAATATAATCGTTATCCCATAGGCATCCAAGAATTGAGCAAAACTAAACAAGTAAACTAAGCAGGGGTGAGGTGGCGCCTTTTTTCAAGCGAAGGAGGGCCCACAGTGACATGCTGGTGTCACTAGAGGAAAAGCAGGACTGAACGCTGTAGACGTTTTTAGACAGCTCCATTAGCTGCACAAAGAAGCCCATAGTATTGAGTCTTATGGAGATATGACCCGACTTCTCACTTGTTTATGAGCTCAGTAAACAGTTTCCTAATGGGTTTATGGTCTTAATCTCTAGTTTCAGTCTTCTTCCATACAGCATGATGTTCATTTAGTAAATGATGGTCCCATTTACAGTAAAATAGACTATAAAGTTAGGGTATGCTTTAGGGCGTGGCTACCTTGTGATTGACAGGTCACTCTCAGTCAGTCTGTCCAGCTCAACGCACCAAACTCAGATCAAATTGTCAAACTAGGCAGTGCTGATCAGATATGAATCGGGATTCTGTTACTGCATTGACTATTTCTCACCTAAAATCATTTCAGAAACATATTTTAGTGAACTGCGTACTGTTGTTTAGTGTGTGTAATACGAGAATGTGTGTGACCAGACAATCGCCATTGTTTCCTGCTACGGACAAGTAGAAATTGCACAGCCAAACTCGCAGTACCACTGCTGTCTGCAAAAACCGTTATGGCGACGCCAAACTTGAGACTTCAAAACGGTACTCACCAATGGTTGACGTCATGATAGGTTTACACACTTTAACAGTAGTAAAGTTGAATAAATAAGTGTGTAGCCCCTCCTTTGGTTAACCCTTTACACTCACATTCGACTGCAGGGTGGACAGGGTGGACAGGGTGACAGTGTGAGACAGACAGATATTTTTCCTCATTACCTATTCCTCTTTCTGTTTTCATGCTACTTCCTGTTTGGACCAGGAGGACCCCAGACACTGACCCCACTGCAGTCAACACAGGCTGAAGTGCCCTTGAGCAAGACCGTTAAACCCCGACTGCTCCAGTGGCCAGAAGCTCAGACTGTGGTTATATTGGTGTGAATGGGTGTGTGTCCCATTCATGCTCCCCATGTTAAATAAAGGTTGGCCTGTCCTCTGTACAACTCCTCTAAAATGAATTATTACTTAACTGTAGTTACATATTTCAGCGAGTCATATCTTCAGTCTTCCTCTGATATGAGTTACACATGCATGTGCACTGTTCCAGCATGTTATTACATTAAAACAATCCTCATCCGGTGTTTCTCTTCACTTCACTTAAACTGTATTTTTCCTCTTGGGAATAGTTTTATTTTATGAATCTAGGACAATCTAGTTATTTATTTCATGGGTTGCTCAGTGTCTGCTGTTGCTGCTGCAGCTCCCACAGATGAATATTAAATAAAAATCTCTTACATTGATGTAAGACTGTGATACTGAAGTTGTACTTCTTGGGTTTTCGATTATTCGGTCTCCATCTTTAGAGCTCAACTCACTAAATGGAACACAGTTTGGTAAATACGCCTATTGCTTTCTTGCAGGCTGTAAGATCAGAAAATATATAATTTCTAAGGAATCAGGTTGGAGCTTTTGGTTGAACATAATGACAACGTCTAAGTGTCTGACAACATTATTGAAAGGATCCCTACAGAGATAGAGCTTTTTTTTTAAAGGGTAAGACCATTTTTGTTTAACCAGAAACAGCCAATATATCGCCCTGTTCAGTGCCACCAGAATCCATTGACAGAAACTGTATTTTTACCTCACGGCAGTTGCTGGTCTGCTGCTGTCTCGATCGGTTAGTTTGTTTGTGTTACTGTGCGACTTTTTGTCTGACCAATCGACAGGCCAAATAGCACCAGTAAGAGAGGTCCGCCTCTCATTCCCACTGTCTACTCCCACTAAAATAACACAATAGCCAGCTGCGGCGATACAATCCATCTCAATCATATATCTCTTTAATGTCTTGTGAGCATGTTAGGCAACTGCAACCAGACAAATTTCCCCCTGGGGATCAATTAAGGATTTCTTAATTCTGATTATCCAGATAAAAACACTATAATAAATGTATCATGGTCAATTTCCATTATCATGATAATTGTGAATATTCTCATATGCTGAAGGCTGAAGGCTCGGCTTACCTGTTGTATCCCCCACAAAGTAGGAATTAGTATAGATTCCAAAATAGAGAACAGGATGATGAGGGGTCTGGGACTTTTTTGGTGCTATTTTAAAAGTATGAGATATATTTTCATGGTAATATCGCAGTTATTCTTGCCAAGATAATCGTGACATAACATTTTCATATCGTCCCGTATTTGCCATCATCAGGGAAACTGTTTTGTCTTCTTGAGTTGTGCACAGGGGGCAGAGTGCCCCCAGTGCGCACAGCGGACCCAGTTTTGTTTGAGTATTTTTGTTAAGCCTATACTTGTAGTGGCAGTAATAATAAATCTGTGCACAAGTAAAGATATGCACGTACTGAAATGTAGTGATTATGTGCATTTCATATTTAATATGTATATTTTCAGCTGAGGACTGAATTTTATTTCATGATCTCACCATGGGTCAAAATCTGCATAGATGAAGCCCCTGGTCACCCCATTATGACCACTATATGACGGTCCCATCAGTCTCAGCTGTACATTGGTAATAGCATGCACTCCGAGCTAAAATTAGTTTTTCCAACCGCTCAGATTTGAATATTTTCTGTTTTTCTTTGTCCTGTGACAGTAAACCGTATCTTTGGGTTTTGGGCTGTTGCTCAGATGAAACAAACTGAAGATGGCACCTGGAGCTCTGGAAAATGTAGTCTTTCATAATTCACTTGAGAGGCTGGTGCCAGAGACTGTGTGTGTTTCAGCACTAATTTGCAGTCTGTCACTCACTCTTACAGAGTGGTTTTCTCAATAATAATTTTCAGTAAATGAGTCAGTGCAGTCTATACAGAAACCGCTCTGTCCCTGTTGTCTGTCCAACACTGATGGTCTTTTAGCATTTGACTCAGTTCAGTCAGAACCACTTTTGTCAAAATAACTTTTATTCCAAAGCCGAATATTACGTTTGGCGGTATGGCTCCGTTCTGGGAGCTCCTTGCCCTTCCACATGCCTACGTGGAAAACCTTAAGGCAGGGAGAGCACACCTACCCTGCCCTAACCCTAACCCTAACCCATGAGGGAATCAGCTGAGCTGTCAGCTGACAGCGTATGGTTTCCAATACGACTAGCTGTGATCATATGATATAGCTGGAATTGAGAACTGAGCCTGACTTTGTGGCCTGCCTGAACTAACGCTATGCTTAATGTTTGGTGAATCTATTGGTAGCTGCTGTTATGATCTTTGGTCCGGACTGGTTGTTTGCAACAACTGCAGCTTCATGCTTTTCATTTTTCCTGTCCATCTGTGTGTTGGTCCACATTAGTGAGCTTGTAGTCTTTCTGGTCCACGTCTGGTCTTTCTGACTGTAAGCTCAGGAGGGGCTAGACTTGGCAATGTGTTTTGGCATTTGGTCGTGTGAAAAACCTGAAAATCTATTGTTAAAGGCATCTAGAGACTAGAGCAAATGGCAATTGCAAGAATCCACTGGGCCTGAACAAAAACAATCAGAGCCAGGTCGTCAAATACCAACGCTTTGGGTTGATGGCTTGAAGCTTTGGGACCCAATGTCCGTCTGTATTTGCCAATCTGGGAATGAAACTCAACAATCAACTGTCTTTCAGCTCTGATTGGTTGTTTTTGTTCAGGCCTGGTGGATTCTTGCAAATGCCATTAGAGTTAGAGAAAGCTGATTTTTTCACAGAATGTCTGTACTACTGTCAGGATATAGT